TCACATGAACACATGAGGAAATTAAAGACATGTTTAGTTAGAGCCTTGGTGTTTCAGTTTTCCAGGAGATGAAACAGAACTTTCATTTTTGCTTTCTTCCTCTTCTATGGAAAGAGATAGAGTGAGGGCTCAGAGGAATGTCATCAACACAGGATCCAATCAGTGATGGGAGGGGCGTCTTCAATGACTGCTGAGCAGTTTCAGACAGTGAGATCTGAAAGTGTAGGGTTCCCCTCCCCATCACAGGTGAGTGAGACCCTTATTCCTGCAGAAATACCCTGATCTGTCCTTCAGGCTGTCTCCCGAAGTCCTGGGGGCTTGATTGCAATACTCCAGGCAAACTCAATTTGAAAGGGTTTAACTGAGTATTTTTTCACTATGTTCAGGTGTGTAATTTTGAATTTGTCTAATAAACATTATGCTTTGAGAGCTGGATGTGTCTTTCCTTTGATTTGAAATGATCAGTGTGGCTGGAAAGATATGCAAATTATTCCCTAGGAAATGAAACATATCTAAATAACTTAAATATCTAATCCTGCCCAGACAAGCCTGGCCTCTGATGGTTTTTCATTCAATCTTCAAATTCTAATCACCTGTGAGTCTTGCAAAGCCATGAGTAACTAGTTCTAAGACTTTAAAAAAGTGGATCGAATTTTGTGTAAGTTGTGGTACTAAAGATATAGTAACATTACTAAAATATATATTCCTCTGGGTATGGTGACTAAAAAGGGGGAAAAAGCAACATGTTTTTGAATTGCTGATTGGAATAGGTTTTGAATTTGGTTTCCAAACTTTCAATAGGATCGTCCCAATCACAGAAAAAAGACCTTTTACAGCCATCATTGTGCTCTTCAGTATGCTTTATAGAGGAATTGATTTGGATTAATTAACTTCCTCAACCTCCAAAGAAGGTAGTTTTACAGGAGGGGAGAGGTGATCCTTTTAAATAATAGCTTCATGGGTTTCAACAACAATAATAATAGGTCCTAATGGATACTTTTAAAAATTTTTGTTCACAATTTAATTTTAGTCGTATACAGACATAACACCGAGGAGGTAATCCAGAATAAGGAATCCATCTGAATCAATAAAGTACACCCCCTCAGGATAAATTGCTCTGCTTTGCATGATGTACTTTATGTGTCTTCAGAAACATAAGCAACTCCTTTATTCAAGTAATGATTGTGTCACAAAAAGAATGAGACGGAATGTATAAGAGGGAAGAAGAGAGACCTTGTATGCAAAAACTCCTCTGGGAGGATCTTACTCTACATCTGACCCACTTCAGAATCAGGCAGAGGTATGACAAGACTCTCAGGGTGGTGATCTTAATCATGTGTTTTTAAAAGTATTTTGATTTTGGGGCTTTCTGTAGGAGGAGAATTATATAAGAGAGTGAGGTTCCAGGAACGGAACTCTCTTAAAGTGATGAGGACAGCAAGTGGTGTCTGGGATCACCTCCCTGCTAGGGACATCATGTACCCATAGGGACACTGGGTCCCTTGCTGAGAAGGACAGCATTCTCAATAGCCGGGTGGAGTAATGGTCTTTCTTCACTCAGTCAGATCCCAGCTTGGGCGACTATGGAATGTGGCAACTTGAATTTTCCCCACAGTCTCAATCCAGCTGGCAGCTGCTGCTCTGGGTCTGTGTTCCAGTCAGGTTGGACCCACTGGGTGGTGAAGGAGTCCCTGAGCATAAGCCAGCATTATCCTAGAGAAAATTACATGTCACATGACTCATTTGTACCTGCATATTTTTTACTAACCACAAAAATCAATTAAAATATGCATGGTAAATTCATTACAATACCCAGAGAATGATTATTTTATTATGTACATCAATTTTTAGGTTATTAAAGTTTTTCTGTCTTCTGTATCCAATATGTATTTGAAACCCAAATATCATCTTCCTTCAGATAGGCCTCACTTCAGATCTGTATGATGTTTGAGCCTGTGAGCTGCTATTATTGTGGAGAGCTTCTGGTTTTTTTTTTTTTTCCATCAGATCCACTTCAAGCTAAATGAGGAATGGCAGCTTTACTGACCATTTCAAATACAGAATATCTGGGCCCCCGACAGCTCATGCAGTAGACCTCTTTCTCTGCATGTAATATGTTCAAAGGCCCCCAGTGGACACTGGAAATAATGAGAACTGAGCCCTGGATACATGGCTTTATCCTACACAATGCACAGTTAAAAAGCTCACTTTAGAGCAGGCACTAGAAGAGGTTAACAATAGTGAAATGGAACAGTTATAATACACTCTAATAAAATTCGTTCGAATGTAGTCTTTGTCTCTGCGAGTAAGACAACACTTTTTGAGCCTTGCTGATCACAGGTAACTGAAGCCAAGGAAAGCAAAAGATGTGGGGGAAATGGAACTGCTGCATTTTTCTCCTTCTTGCCTGGTATTTGGTGTGGCACAGGGAACATATGCAATATTCCTGTGCATGTAAAGATGAAATAGGCCAGTTTAAACATCCCATGAAATCTTATTAATGAGCAATTTATCCAGCAGATGTGCCCTGGAGGCACCCTTGCTACAGAGCAACTGGGCACCAAAGCTAGAGGTTTCTCCCTGTTTTGACCCCAGGGATGGGGTAAAAGTAGGAGCAATCATGTCTGATAGCAGGATTAATCACAGAGTTGACTCCCCTGGACACCCGGGGGGGTTCTGAGGATCAGAGACCTCCATGAATTCAGGATAAAGATTCCCCTAGAGCAGTGTATGGTGCCCAGAGCCCCCTCTTTTGTCTGCTGTGATGCTCAGGGATCCAAAGGTGAAGCTAGATCAGGGTCCGCCTCCCTCCACATGAAGCCCATGCAGCCTGATGAAACTGGAAACTCAGGGGTGCTACAGAACCTCAGGAAGACTGGGCTAATGTGTCTAAATATTGAGCAGAACATGTAGTGTATTTGGAAAAAATCGAGCTGGTTTGGCAGCAAAGGGCTGCTCAGTGCTGACTTTGGGTGTCCCAAGTGAAATATGACGCTAGGCAACAGGAAGAATACTGCACACCTTCAATATGGTTTAGAGAAAAGGATATGTATATGCTTTGGTTAGGATGAAAGGGAATTCTTCCCAAACAAAATGAACTTATTTTACCTGAAGTAATATCACACACAGTCAGGCACCATTACTGGCTCAAGAATCCTGTGGGACAGTTCCAGGGACCACTGTAATGGTTTTCTAAATTGATAGTATGGTGGGAACTATGGAGGAAAAATTGACTAGAGCTATTTGGGGTCAATTGATGGTTGTTTCAACTCTGGATGGCTACAGTCATGTCAAGTAGAATCCATAGAGATATTATGTAGAACGACGGCCTAAATAACCAAAAGGAAAGCAGCCTCAGAATGACCCTTTGAAGTGGTGAGAAAATTGTGTGGTGGGTGTGGGATAAGAAGCAGCGCAGAGTCTGGAGGAGCACTAAGCTCAGAGCAAGAGGGGACAGTGGGGGTAGGGTCTCTTTACCCTGGAGGCCTTCTTTTGACCAACCTTCTTGGCCCCAAGTCCCTTCTCCGTCATGCGTGCCAGCCACACATCACAAGGGTTAAACATAGAGTTTAGCTTTTGGTCTCCAGGGGAGCTGGTGATTGCCGAGCTCCTCTGCACTTCTGACTACTGTTGGATCAGAAGAGCAACAGGTTCCCTCAATGGGCAGTCTATTGAGCAAGCACAGTCGCAGGCCACGCTGCTGGGCCCTCTTAGACCATCAGACACCCATCCATCAGGCCTGAAATGCTCCCACTCCTCGCAGGAATCACCCCGCTGTACCAGCCTCTTCCATCAGCCCTGCCTGCAGGCATGTCCACCAAGATCCCTGACCTCGGGTGCCTTATGTAGCTGGCTGCAACAGAGACCCTCTCCTGCAGGTGGTGCACTCCTCTCTGGGGATCCTGCTGCTGCTGTCCTGGAGGTCCTTCCACATAAAGCCAGACCTATCACTTAGGAACTCGTGGATGTTTGAACCCTGGACAACTGTAAGGATCCCTCCTCCTCAGTGCAGGCCACTCCTCAGTGCAGGCCACTCCTTGGTGAAGGCCACTTTATCAGCAGGTCCACCAGACTGAGGGGCCCATGATACCAGCTCACTTCCCTGTTGGTGATCCAGAAGAAGCAGAGCTCAGGGCCCATGAACAGCGTGAAGAAGGCAAGGTTCACCAGGAGGAGGAGGAGGAGGAGGAGGAACTGGAAGAAGAGGAGAAAGAGGTGGAAGAAGAGGTGGTGGAGAAGGAGGAAAGGAGGAGGAGAAGATGAAGGAGGAGGAGGAGCAGGGCAGTTCCCAATGGCAAAAGAGGCAGGAGGATCTGCAGAGGGGTGCCCTGAGCAAAGGGAAAGCAACACCAACATGTCCTCTGGAGACTCAGGGAGACTTCAGTGCACTGGAGCCCAGTTCTTGGCCCCTAGAAGGAAACAGCATTCCAGAGAGGGCCCAGGTGTCTCCCAAGAACTTGTCATGTGGGAGCCCTGCCACCTGCAGCTCCCACTGCCCTGCTCAAGGAGTGCTCACCCTGCTTAATGCTGAGGGCTGCTTAATGCAGGACAAGTGGGCCAAGGAGAGCCTAGACGAACTTGATTGTCCCATCTCTCCAGGCTCCTAGGCATCCATCAAGGGAGTGCAGGGCCAAAAGCCTTCCTGTCTTCCATCACAGAGCTGTCATCCACAAAGTGCTGCTACCTGGAGGCCCAAGAAAAGAAAACAGCCCATGCCGGTGGCCCTGACATTGTTGAAGCCCTGGCATCAAGATGGGCTGCCCCCCACCTGCTAAGCGGCCACTTTTGTGTCCAGAGGAAGACTCAGGCACCCTGATGAGGGAGGTTCAGAGTGCGAAGAGGAAGAACTTGGAGGCTGATGCAGAGGTCTTACAGGGCAGAAGAGAGTCTCTGGAGGACTGCACCACCACTCAGTCTGTCCATTCTTTCTTCCCACCTGCAGTCCCTGCCTGGAATGCAGGCCCACTTCCCCCACCCACTGACCCCTCCCCCATCCCAAGTATCCTTGTCAACAGGCAGTTGGAGTTCCAGCCTACTGGGCCCCTGAACCTATCTATCCCTCGACCTTCCACCTCACCTAATAAAGATGAGGGGGAAATCCCAACTTCCATTCCTCTGCCTCCTCCCACTAACCCTCTTTTTTCCTTCAGGCCCAGTCCCAGTGTGGGTGTTACCCCTAATGTGTTTCATCAAACCACACACCTGGCAAGACCTGTGGCACCTCCCAATTCCCAAATTCCCACACCTCATACCCAGGTCCCTTTCCCCTCCAAGTCTACCTCTTCAAGAATGGAATCCCCAACCCCCATGTGTATTGATTCTCCTTCTCCTCTTTCTCTTCCTCCTCCTTCTCTTCCCCCTTCATTTTCTTCTCTTTCCCCTTCTCCATTCCCTCCTCCTCCTCCTCTTCCTCCTCCTAATAATCCCTCTCCTTTGGCTGCTCCTCCTGCTGCTCCTCTTCCTCCTTCTCCTCATTCCTTCCAAGACCTGCTCTAGTCCCTTCCACTCATAGCCCCAATACCCAGGGCCAGGACTCTGCTAGGAGTGTCCCCCCAACCACCATAGCAAAGTCATCAGCTCATCTTTCCCAGCATCCCACTGTGCTGCCTGAGGACACGGCCATGGACACTACCCCCCCTTCTATGGCGGTGATTTTTCCATCTTCTCCTGCTTCCAGTGACAGCTCCTGCCCATACCTCAAGTCCATGGCTGTAAGCAGCCAGCAAAGGGACAGGCCCCCCAATCCATCTCCCACCCAACTTCAATCTGTACCATTCTGTTGTCCCACAACCCACACTTCAGACTGCATCTGGGAACCCTCATAGGCAGCAAAGAAGAGCCTCTCTTCCCAATTCCCCCATGGTTATTGTGCTGCCAGTCATGGACCATTCACTGGCCTCCATCCTAATCTCACAGTTCCCCTCTTCCTCTTAGTATCTGTTCTTCTTCTTCTTCCTGTAAACTGGATTCTGTTGCAGAAGGTTCTTATTCTCCCTGCATCTCCCCACACTGGTGGGGCACACACTCATCCCGGACAAAACATTCTTGAAGTATCCAGTCCTCGCTGTGCCCTGTTATCCAGATGTTGACGGTGAGGAAGAGAAGGTGATGCTGCTGCACATCCTGAACCTGCAGAGAGTGGGTGCACTGCTCTCCCTCCACCTGGCAGATGACAGAAGAACTTTTGTCTCCTGGCTGCAGGCTGTGCCTGTGGGAGTTCCACCCCCCACCCCACGCCCTGTCCTCCTGCCTTCTGCCATGTGCAGACACAGCAAGAATGCCCTCAGCAGTCCAATGCTCAGCACCTGGATCTGGGACTCCATAGTCTCCAGGGCTGTGAGGAAGGAATTTCTCTTCCTCTTAGATGGGCAACCCAGGTAATTTGTTGGAGAGCAGAAAGAGTCTATGCAGGGCTGGAGTTGTGGCTTAGTGGAAGAGTGCTTGCTTACCATGTGTGAGGCTCTAGATTCAATCCTCAGCACCACATAAAAATTAATAAAATAAAGGTATTGTGTCCAACTGCAACTTAAAATAAATACATAAAAAAGAGTCTAGGCAGAAATAAATACTAATTCCAAATAAGATCTCCTGGTCTTTTGCAAAAGAGCTCATAACCAATCAGTGTCCAAGGCTAGTGTTTTTGGTGACAAGGGGAGAATGAGCTCATCTCCTGGCAAAGGTAAACTTTCCACGTAGGGCTAGAAAAGGTGGTTACAAACACAGCACACTCCAAGGCATGGAATCAGATCTCTTGACACAAGGTCATTAAGATATGAAAACTATAAAGAGACCTGCATTCAGACATATATTTTTGGATTCAAAACTCCCTCCCCAGGTTTCAAAAGCAGCAGTGTCCTCCAGCTGTTATAGAGACCTGCTTCTATAGTGTCCTACTTTCAGTGTGTGACTGTCTAGTGGGTCATCCCATTCACTGCTGAAGACAAAGATGCTTTCTAGTATTCAACCATACAAAACAGAAACATAAACACTGTGTGGCTACAGGGTGTCTTTGCCATTGCTCCTACCTTGGACTCCATGATGTGTGGACAGCATCTTCTTGCTCTGACTTCAGTGTTGTCAGGCCCTCCCTGGGTTCTGTGCAATCAGAAGCCTTCCACAAGACAGTGCAATCAGAACAAAGCCTCTTCCACTTGTAGTTTCAGGAATCTATGGCTCTAATTTGGAAGCTCTTCAGTGAGATCCACAGGATGTTCTAAAAGAACATAGAGTTAAGTGTCAGTACATGGGTCTGGCTGAAGATTTCTCAGGCAGCAGTGTATGGACACAGGGCTGGAGTGGCTGGAGGTGGTTGAAAAACAGCCAGAGATAGAGTTGCTGCTGGGACCTGATCTATGGTGGACAAAGAAAGGTAAAGGCATGGATCAGTAGTGCATGAGAAGCAGAGCTTTGGCTTCTCCAGGTAAAGTCTGGCTAATCAACGTGGGATGGTGAATTTACCAGTGGGTTAAAACATAATAAATACACTGTACAATTCGATGGCAGCATCTTACCACTCCTCCTTCCCATTGTGGAGTCCTGTCAACTCCCCGCTGTTCTCTTTCAACGTTTCATGATCATTTGGCTTCCTTGTATCTCCATCTGCTTCTATTGTATTAATCGTCTCTCCTATGAGAGCTTTAATATTATTGAAATAGGTGCTGCGTCCTGTGCTCTCTTTGGCTGAATGGTTCACTGCATTGCCTACTGCCCCAAGGCCCCAGATGCAGGTGCAGATCCCGCCCGCAAGGCGCGTACTGTCCGCGGTGGTCCTCTGCAGTGCCCGCTCCCGCTGAAGAGCCGTTGAGGCGGCAACCTCTTAGAATGCGGCGCCTCTCGGGACGCGCTCCAGCGGCTGCCTGGGCGGCCCGTGGCGTCCGCGGGCCTGGCCGCTCGCTCAGCCAGTTGCCGGCTGGTGTGCAAAGGCGGACGTGCCCGGGTCGCCCTTTCTGCAACTGGCTGCGGCGCGAAGTTGGTGGCGGCCCCCAGAACTTCGGACGCCTCCTGACCTCTGCGACTGCAGCTCGGCGGAGCAGGATCTAGGACTTCCCAAGGGCGGCGGGCGAGTCGCTTGTAACAGGCGCCGCTGGGACGCGTGACGGGCGAGAATGGCGCGTGCAGAACCGCGTCCTTCTGACCGTTGGTCCCCGTGGTGCCAGCTGATGGGGACTGGGTGCCGCCGCCCTCCCAGGCCGGCCTGCCGCCCGGGGCGCCTCGGAGCTGGATACTAGAGGCGACGGAGCGCGTGAGTGTGCACCCGCTTGTCCGCGGGCGCGCAGGGGTGGGGTGGGGGCCAGGGGAGTGGCAGGTGAGCGTGCATGGGCGGGCTTCCGGTGGTGCAGAGAGAATACCGTGGGCGGTGTCAGTTGTGCAGGTAGGTTGAAGCACTGGAGGATCAATAAAAACGCCTGGTTTGGCTGCCTTCCAGTTGATTTAGGTTACCTGTTAGGTCTCGGTTTCTTGAAGCTTCCCCTAACAATGCCAGCTCACTCCTAAAGCTCTTTTTTTCCATCGCTTCATTTTGTACTTAGGCTAACACTTCATCATGTATCGTGCTCTGTTTTATGTTTCTAAATTGGATTATTCACTTTCTACAGAGAGATTATGAATCTCTTCAATGAGGACTTTAATATTTACTTTTCTCGAAACTCAGTTTTGGTTTTTGACCTACAAGCAACCAAGCACTGAGCATTTAACTCATGCATTTTCTTCATTAATTGAGCTAATGAAATAGTTATGAAACACCTACTTATGCATTCATTGTGCTGGGGATTGTGCTGGACACCTACCATGCACACTTGATTAAGTCATGGGCCTTTGCATCAAAGAGCCCTTTCAATTTATTGGACAAGAGAAGAGAATTAATTGCTCATTATCTTTCTCACCTGGAAAAATCTCAGAAAATATTTTCAAATTTCACTTTTTTTTAAAAACAAAATTATTTATTCTAATCTAAATTTATACATGACAGCAGAATGGTCTTCTATTCATTGAACACAAATAGAGCACAATTTTTCACTTCTCTGGTTGTACATGAAGTAGGGTCACACCCTTCCTGCAATCATACATGCACCTAGGGTAATGTATCTGTTTTATTCCACCATCTTTCCTATCCCCATGCCCACTTCCCTCTCCTCCCTCTCCTTTGGCCAACCCAAAGTTCCTCCACTTATCCCATGCCACCCCCACCCCCACTATGGATTAGCATGTGCTTATCAGATAAAACATTCTTTTTGGCATTGCTTTACTTCGCTTAGCATGATATCCTCTAACTCCATCCATTTACCTGCAAATGCCATAATTTTATTCTTTTATTGCACACCAAATTCACTATTTTAACTTTAAAGTTTATCTTTCTTTTGATGAACATTTTCCTCCCACAAAGAAACCAAGTTTTTGAAAACTCATGAAGCCCATGATACATAAACAACTGTAATGAGAACCACAAAGCTGAGATGTGTGGTTTCTTTGCTGTCTTCATCTAGACACAATTATGTCTGTCTCCTATCTCACTCCTTTCTGGCCTTATGGTATAAATTCATAACCCTTCAGAAATACAAAGTGATAAGTCCACAAATAAATGCCAAAGTCCTATTCAAAGGCATTCTGTCTCACCTGCCTTTACCTGTGCTTTGATTTTGAATAGCTTGTGTGCTGTTTTGGAGCCTTCATTTCTTAATAGTTAAAATGGACCTGTAGAGACCTACACTGGGAAGCTAGCATCCAAGTCTTCTGGGGTTACTTGCCAAATGAATAGGCACTGTAGCTCCTCCCAGCCTACCACATTCCTGCAGGTTTCCTAGAACCTCTGGAGGAACAGCTCTCCAGGGAAGCATAGGGAATAAGAGACACCTGAGGCTGAGCCCTATCCCTCAGCCCACTGCTGGGGGGAAACTCCTGCCTGGGGATTCACTCTTCCCCATGCTCTCAGCCTAAAACTAATTCATTTTCCAAAGGAAAGCCTCAGCAGGTGGATCTTGTAAAATGAGGGTGGTGTGGTGTTGTGGGGGGGTGGTGAAAGAAATGATAAGGCATGCAAAATGCAAAACACAAGACATGGGAGAAAGCAGGTTTCAGAACCAGACTCCCACAGGACATTGATTTGAAAACTTTCACATAGCAATTTAAAAATGATGCTGATGAACACATTAATGACTGTGAGGACCGAGTAGACAGCAGGCTATTTCAGATGGGAAATGTAAGCTGAGGGATTCAACCTCTAAGAAAGAATCCCAAGGGCATGTCAGAAATGAAATAGATTAGAACATAAGTGAGGAATGCCTTTAATGGAGTCACCAATGGGCTGCCCACAGACAGACAAGAAGAGAATAAAGGAGCTTGACAATGTCGATAGAAAATGATTATATTGAAAATTTAAAAAAATGAGAATGATAAAGTACACAGCATTTCCAAGTTCTTGGGAAGATTACACAAAATAAATATCTGTAATGGGAAACATAGGAAAAGAGAAAGAGGTCTAAAAATATTTCCAGTAATAAACACTAACAATTTTACAACATAACGATAGACAACAAACTACAGATCGTGAAATCTCAGAGAACATGAAGCAGGATAAATACTAAAAATGAAATGTATGCACAGGTATATCATAATCAAGCTGATGCATATCAGTGAATGGAGAAGATTTTGAGGACAACAGAAAAACACAAGTTTATAGTGCACATATCATATCCAAACCACAACAAATCATGAACATAAATGCCATTGATGAGTTCAGAATAATTACACTACTAATATTAAGGATTCTCTCTTCATTTTAGGTCTTACATTTATACTTCAGTTGCCTAAATATATTCTAAGCTTTCAGATCAAATGCCAAATTCACTATTTAACGTTAAAGTTTATCTTTTGATTTTATATGAGATCACCTTACTGTGTTAATGAGGTTATAAGGTGATCATTGGGATGTAATCCCATGGATTTTGTGAATTCCTAATTGATGAAAATATAAAACCTAATATAAATCAAATGGCTCCAACTTTGACATAAGATTCCTCGACTTTACTGTAATGCCAAAGCCCTAGCATGCAATGGAAACTTCATCCTTTGAATTATGAATTAATCTTTTCTCATGGTAGCCCTAAGTGGTCCCTCACAGTCCTGCAATGCTGGGCAGCATCAGTGAGCCAAGCTTCCAGCCAGCATCTGAATCACAAGGGCAAGAGCTGGTAGTCTGTGCTGTGCAGTGCTCCTAATCTTGATGCTGAAAAGTTTTGGTACAGTGAATGCACTTTCCTAATAATAATAATAATAATAATAATAATAATAATAATAATATCTGAATTGCTCATGATCTGATCATCCCCTTTGCCCCTTTACTGTTATGGGAACCTACTACTTTTCCCATTCATTTCTAAAGATCAATAAATTTAAGGACTCTCTTGCAAGATTTGTTAAGATAAATAGAGAAGACCCAAAACACCTTAAGAATTAGCATGGGAGCTGGTGATGTAGCTCAAGGCACAATTCTTGCTTAGAGTCTAGGTTGCAATCCCTGGAAACACACCACACACACACACACACACACACACACACACACAATGTCGACAATACACCAGAATTCAGATGGCCAAAGATACTACAGAAAATTTTCAATGTACTTAATGTACATAAATGGTGTGAAGATCATTCTAAAATAAAAGTGATTAAACAATAGAAAAGTAACAACAACCCCGCTTTTGTACATTAAGAGGTGAAAAGTGGCTGGGTAGAGTCAGCAAGACAATGTAGGTCTACATGACAATTGCACAGTGGGAAACATCCAAGAAATTGGAGAGTATGGGACCCTTTCCATCTCATTTTATCAGGTCAGTATTATGCAAATCTAAACACAAACAATGGTATGTACTTCCAAAGAAAGAAGGAAGAAAGAAAAAAGGAAAAACGAAAGAAAGAGATAAACAGGGTCAATGCAGATGAACACATTGGGTGACCCCCAGGAGCTGGAAAAGGGCACTGTGAGCATGCTCAGTAGAAGGTGTGAAAAGTAAATGTTTTTTGTGTATGAAAGAGAAAGAGAGGAGGAGAGAGAAAGAGATACCCACAGTTACAAATCTAAAAATGCCATCAATGTCAATTTAAACAAGAAATTTATACCCAATCGTGAAATATTTATACACACAGGTACATAATGTAATGTCTATATACAGATATAGACACCCTTTTATAATATATACAAAACCAATAAATATTAGTATTTGTGAATATTTAAAGCTAAAAGGAAACATCGCATATAAGGAAGAAGTGGGGAGCCTGGATTTAATTTTGGGTGCATAAAAGCCCTCCTCCTATCAATCAAGTGCACTTAGGGCACCCTGACAAAGAAGCCATACACTGTGAGGTTCGCTAACACTGAAACGTTTCTGAAAATGGAAATGAAATATTGAGTAAAAATATTACAGAATTTGGAAATTTTGCTTGTTAGTCACATGAGTGCCAGGAATAAATGGAGAAGATCAGATTTGGACTATGGTTAAAGCCAATGTTGTCTAATGCAAGTGTTCAGTGCAGGGGCCATCAGTATTCCAATGCTCACAAATTCCTTAGGTAAATTGCTAAGGAATTCTAAAAGCTGCACAGAGGTATTCCTACCTCCTCTGATCCCAGATGCCCTTCTCACACCCAGCCCCTCTAGGCCTCCAAAGGGGAGACCCGAAAGACCCTCAGTCCTAACACTGGACTCTATCACCTGGCAGTGGTGCTGTAGAATCATGGACACTCAGCCATAATCCTACATGTCTGATCCAATTCTCTGAAGGTTCCACCTCCCCTGCCATGACTAGAGACTGCCTCTCCAATGGCCCTGCAACTGCCTGGCCAGACCCCTCAGGTGGAGACTGTCCTCTTGTAGCATCACCTGCATTCAGTGGATTCCTGGCAGGCACCTGAGTGCTGCCACCTCTATCCCTCTGTTGCTGCCAAGTTTCAGGCCCTTGCTCTTGCATTTATCATACACCCTGCTCGTCATAGTGCCAGGCACTGCCAGGCTCTCTCTGGTGTTTTATTCTCTAGACATTAAAGGTATGCACTTATAAAACAATTTATATTCTCCAAATAAAGTTTTCCTATAATAGTATAGAATAATATTTATAGTTAACATAAAATAATCACCACAAGATCTAGACAAAAATTCAAATAAAATTTGACAAATCTAGAAAACCAATTGCTGAGCAAAGCTGAGACATCCTGGTATGAATGTGGGAGATGTGAGCAGGAAGTGAGCAGGCAGAGAACCACACAGGCTGCAATGTTTGGCCTGTTG